GGGGCGAACATCGTCAGTGGCATGTGGATCTTCAGGGTGAAGCGGCCGCCGGGTTCTCCGCCTGTCTTCAAGGCGCGTTACGTGGCTCTTGGCTTCAGTCAGCGGCAGGGGGTTGACTACTTTCAGACCTTCTCCCCCACCCCGAAGATGACCACTCTTCGGGTTCTGCTGCACGTTGCTGCTCACCGTGACTACGAGCTGCACTCTCTCGACTTCAGCACAGCTTTCTTGCAGGGCAGCCTGCACGAGGAGATCTGGCTGCGTCGCCCACCTGGCTTCACTGGGTCTTTCCCTCCTGGTACCCAGTGGAGTCTCCGGCGTCCAGTCTACGGTCTCCGCCAGGCGCCACGTGAGTGGCACGACACACTGAGGACTACGCTCGCGGCACTTGGGTTTGCTCCTTCTACTGCCGACCCGTCGCTGTTTCTGCGCACCGACACCTCTCTGCCGCCGTTCTACATCCTCGTGTACGTCGACGACTTGGTCTTTGCCACTGCTGACACTGCTGGACTCGCCTACGTGAAGTCCGAGCTGCAGAAGAGACACACGTGCACAGACCTGGGTGAACTGCGCAGCTACCTTGGCTTGCAGATCACCCGGGACAGAGCACGCCGCACCATTACCCTGACTCAGTCACACATGGTGCAGCAGGTCCTTCAGCGCTTCGGCTTCACGTACTCCTCGCCTCAGGCCACTCCTCTGCCTACTCGCCACTTGCTCTCAGCTCTGCCTTCGGATGAGTCCGTAGAGTCGAGTGGCCCGTTTGCAGAGCTTGTTGGCTGCCTCATGTACCTGATGACCTGCACACGACCTGACCTCGCATACCCTCTTAGCATTCTCGCACGCTTTGTTGCTCCTGGGAGACACCGACCAGAGCACATGGCTGCAGCGAAGAGGGTGTTGCGCTACTTGTGCAGTACGTCGGGCATGGGGCTAGTGCTTGGAGGGCGCAGTCCAGTGGTCCTCACTGGGCACGCAGACGCTTCTTGGGCTGACGACCAGGCTACGCAGCGGTCGTCACAGGGTTACACCTTCAGCCTTGGTTCCGGCTCTGTCTCGTGGCGGGCTACCCGCTCGTCTTCTGTTCTCGGCTCCAGTTGTGAGGCTGAGATCTACGCTTGGGCTATGGCTGCACAGGAGTTACGCTGGCTCACCTACCTGCTGACCGACCTTGGAGAGCAGCCTCGTTCTCCTCCAGTCCTGTACGTAGACAACAAGGCCATGCTGGCCTTGTGTCGAGAGCAGCGACTGGAGCACAGAACGAAGCACATTGCTCTCCGCTACTTTCTTGCTCGTGAGCTACAGCAGCGTGGACAGCTGCGACTTGCGTACGTGGCCTCTGAGGCCAACTACTGCTGATGTCTTCACCAAGGCACTTGCGCCTTGTGATCATCAGCGTTGCTGCACGCAGTTGGGTCTTGTGCCTGTCTTGCCTCACTTGCTCTCCTCTTGACCTTGCTTGTACCTTCGCATATATATACTCTTGCTCTTGCTTGCTTGACTCTTGTATACCTCTATATATGATCTTGCATGTGAACTGGCCGTGTGGCCTTTGAACTTGTGCTCGGAATGCGTGGTGACTTTGTGATCCACCCTGAGCTTTGCTTTGCTTTGCTTGACTGGTCTTGTGACCCCTTGTTCTCCCCCAGTTTGCCTATGGGGGTGTGTCAGAACATATAGCTTACTTGTTTCTGTAGGCTATAGTGGGGTATCCCATAGGGGGTACAACCCAATTAGGGTTTCCTATTTGTACTCACTTCGTTCATAGTCATTCTCATTCTCGTTCAATTTTTCTCACACAGTGCCATGCGCTCGCGTGCCATTGGCCGAACAGCTCGACCGTTCGAATTATTTTCCGCTTTACACCCTAACGCATGAGAAGGACGGGCAGCACCTGCATAACCGCCTGGTGCTGAAATGCGTAAAAAGTATTGTTACCACTAAAATAACCGTCGGTATGCGCCAGGATCCACAAGAAGGACTGTCGACTATACTCAGTGATATTTGCTAGGTCCGCATCCATCTTAAGCAGTACCTCGTTCGACAACTGCCGTTTTAAACAATTTAAAATATGCTTGTAGACGCCCAAACTACTCATGTGCATAAGGTCGACCATCAGTGTCCTATAAGGATTCCTAAATTCCTCCTTCGCAAACCGAAAGCCCCGCAGTGCACACTCGACTCCGTGCGTACTATGCTCAACCTCTAAATCATTCCTTCTCGTCTTGGTCGCCGCGCTCTCTATTTCGCTCACAATACCTTTCTGTTTTTCCTCGGTTCTATACACCACGGGCTGTGTCATGTCGTTCAGCTTCGTTCTATGAACCATACACATTGGACACGGAAATGCAGTACCCATCCCCGATTTCGTACCGGCGACCTTACACTGCTCAGGATAGTCGCCGATGTATGCGTAACTCACAAAATACACCCAGCGTTGAACCCCGTAGGGATCCGTCAGTAGCTCTCCCCTGGTTAAAGAAAGAAAGAAAAAAAAAACAAGGTAAAAAAATACACAAATGGGACTCGCATTAGAAAAGGTCCATTAAGCGGTTCAGACTGTATCACGAAATTGCAGTGCCGATCGAGTGTAAAATTTTGGGGGCGGAGATTCGGCTCGCACAACAAACTCAGCATACAGTCCTATTGAAAAGCGCAAACTCGAATTAAGGCACGGTTTTCAACTAATTTCAGCACAGTAATGGAAAGCAACCAGATGTACAATATAACACACAGTTAATGGAAACCAAACAGATTACCAGCTCGACAAAAAAAATATAAAACAAAAACAGGACTTACTTTTCTTCAAATTCCCGTTGTTCTTCGAGAATTAGTCGCAAAGCCTCCTGAAATACCTCGTGTCGCCGCCGCGTTTCCTCGGCCTTTGACAATGTCTGTTTGTCAATCTTCGGTAGAAGACCACAGAGGCGATGGCCATGTGATTTCCACCGGTTTGCCGACGATATGTTGGCCAGTGAAACATACACGGGCCAACCGACGACACCATCATCTGTCGTCAGCGTGGTCTCGTCGGAATAGATAATGACCGCCGCCACTACCTCTCCTTTATCCAGCTTTGACTGTACACAGCGTCACCACAAACCAGTTTCAGGCCCCTTATAAATAATTCGTGCGTTTTCAGGTAGAACTTCAGGCTCGACAACAAAACCGTCTGCATTTGCCGGATTTTGGTACAATCCACGGATGCACGACATTGTCGGCCTCCAATACAGGTAAATTGGTTTTGAATCTCTAGGTTTTCTCAAATCCACCTTTAAAAAACCAGTCAGATCAGCCTTTGCCGTCTTCGCCTCTTCATACCTGCTGAATTCTGCTTACTTCAAATTCACGGTGCATGGATTTTCTAGAGCTTCAATGACGATGTCGATCAACTCCTTGGTGTCAGCTCGTGAATGTCCCACGCCACCGGCTGCTGTTTTACAGAATCTGAAGAGCCGAGAATCAAAATCCGCTACGGTTGGGTTAGCGCGTAGAGAGAAGTCGTAACCAGTTGTATCGACGTTTGGTAGGGCGCTATCCGCCTGAGGCAGCACACGGCTAGCCCTATCTGCCTCTTGTGCAGCTGCTGACCTTCTCCTCTTTCGACTCTGGTTTTTTAAGGCTTGACCAGCCTCACGAATTCTGGCTGCATACTCCGCATCGCCACCTCCACCAGCAGCAGCTCGTGATGAACTCTCCGCTGCTTAGCCATAGTTGTGCTGCCTATGTGCAAGGTGATGTGCCTTCTCAAGGAAGGTTCGGAAAGTAACTTTACAACCATCCTGGTCACAACTGTAGTGCCCTTCCTGGTCAGCCATTACGAAGAGGTGGTGGATTTAAAAATCCTTATAAATTTACAGTGTACACACACTTGTGCGCCACCCAGAGACCACTAGCACTCCTCCTGCCTATACTACTGCGCAAAAGTCGGGTACCGGCGGAGAAGCGCGCTTGCAGACGAGGGCGGAACGGAAGATGTTGCGTGGTGGCTAATGATGACGATGCGGAAGCTCGTTTAGCTGTTGGAAATTTGACCTGCAAGCGCAAGAGAGTATATTCGAGCACATATTTAGGCTTAAGATAAAGGTCGCAAAGAGAACTTGTAATATTACTACATATACAATGGTAGCCGAACGTCATTAGTTAAATATAAAAAACAACCGCACTATAAACATAGGACACCCCTAAACACGATCTTACCTTAGCGTCTGGAGCTAAGGTCGCAGTTATCGCGCGAAGGATCTGATCACCAGGTGGCGGAATGCAATCTGCTGCGTGACGACGAGACGAGATGGATGTCGGTAAGCTGGTTGCCTAGCCAAATGCAAATCCTGCGACGGAACAAAGTAGATGTTTGTTATCATGGTTAAGATTGACAAGAAATCGAACGTTACGAGGTCATAAGATCATATGAGAAATTCCTTCAATCGGAATGAAACGAGAATGACGGTGACAAAACAACAGCCGTAGGACCATCGATCACAAAAAAGCATTAACTCACCTGTAGCAACTACACCTATACGCATCAGAGACTGGTAGGTGTTTGCTGAGGCGGAAACACCCTAAGTGCTGAGGACGAGCAAGGAGTTTCTCAAGGGAGAGACTGTCAGAATATATCTGTAACTGCCTGTAGCTGTAGTTAGTGGAGTTATTATAAACTTGTGAGAATAAGCGAACAGGAATGAATGAACTAGCAGTGAAATGAGTACAAGTAGGAAACCCTAGAATTGTGTACCCCCTATAGGCTAACCCACTGTAGCCTACACAAGCATAACATATATAATGTTTGACACACCCCCATAGGCAAAGTGGGGGAGAACAAGGGGTCACAAGACCAGTCAAGCAAAGCAAAGCAAGCTCAGGGTGGATCACAAAGTCACCACACAGTCCGAGCACAAGAGCAGGGCCAGAGGCCAGTTCACATGCAGGAGTACAAACATATATATAAAACTAGACAAGCAAGAGCAGGTATATATATATATGTCACAGTACAAGTGAAGTCAAGAGGAGAGCAAGTGAGGCAAGACAGGCACAAGACCCAGCTGGGTGCAAAAGCGCTGATGGTCACAAGGCGCGAGTGCCTTGGTGAACACATCAGCAGTGTTGGCCTCAGAGGCCACGTACGCAAGTCGCAACTGACCACGCTGCTGCAGCTCACGAGCAAGGAAGTAGCGGAGAGCAATGTGCTTCGTTCTGTGCTCCAAGCGCTGCTCTCGACACAAGGCCAGCATGGCCTTGTTGTCTACGTACAGCACTGGAGGAGAACGAGGCGGCTCTCCAAGGTCAGTCAGCAGGTAGGTGAGCCAGCGAAGCTCCTGTGCAGCCATGGCCCCGGCGTAGATCTCAGCCTCACAACTGGAGCCGAGAACCGAAGACGAGCGAGTAGACCGCCACGAGACAGAGCCGGAACCAAGGCTGAAGGTGTAACCCTGTGACGACCGCTGCGTAGCCTGGTCGTCAACCCAAGAAGCGTCCGCGTGGCCGGTAAGGACCACTGGACTCCGCCCTCCAAGCACTAGCCCCATGCCCGACGTACTGCACAGGTAGCGCAATACCCTCTTCGCTGCAGCCATGTGCTCTGGTCTGTGTCTCCCAGGAGCAACATAGCGTGCAAGAATGCTCAGAGGGTATGCAAGGTCAGGTCGTGTGCAGGTCATCAGGTACATGAGGCAGCCAACAAGCTCTGCATACGGACCACTCGACTCTACGGACTCATCCGAAGGCAGAGCTGAGAGTGAGTGGCGAGTAGGCGGAGGAGTGGCCTGAGGCGAGGAGTACGTGAAGCCGAAGCGCTGAAGGACCTGCTGCACCATGTGTGACTGAGTCAAGGTAATGGTGCGGCGTGCTCTGTCCCGGGTGATCTGCAAGCCAAGGTAGCTGCGCAGTTCACCCAGGTCTGTGCACGTGTGTCTCTTCAGCAGCTCGGACTTCACGTAGGCGAGTCCAGCAGTGTCCGCTGTGGCAAAGACCAAGTCGTCGACGTACACGAGGATGTAGAACGGCGGCAGGGAAGTGTCGGTGCGAAGAAACAGCGACGGGTCAGCAGTAGAAGGAGCAAACCCAAGAGCCGCAAGCGTAGTCCTCAGTGTGTCGTGCCACTCACGCGGTGCCTGGCGGAGACCGTAGACTGGCTGTCGGAGGCTCCACTGGGTGCCAGGAGGGAAAGTCCCAGTGAAGCCAGGTGGACGGCGAAGCCAGATCTCCTCGTGCAGGCTACCCTGCAAGAACGCAGTGCTGAAGTCGAGAGAGTGAAGCTCGTAGTCGCGCTGAGCGGCTATGTGCAGCAGCACCCGAAGAGTAGTCATCTTCGGGGTGGGAGAGAAGGTCTGAAAGTAGTCAACTCCCTGCCGCTAACTAAAGCCACGAGCAACGTACCGTGCCTTGAAGACAGGTGGAGAGCCCGGCGGCCGCTTCACCCTGAAGATCCACATGCCACTGACGATGTTCGCCCCAGGAGGGGGAACCGCGTCAACGTAGGTGCCTGTGGACTTCCAGGAAGCCATCTCTGCATCCATAGCTGCCTGCCACTGAGAGGAGTAGGGACCCTCTACGGCCTCCGCGTAAGAACGCGGAGTCGGGATGTCTAGTTCATCCGGGTCTCCCTCAGGGGCAAGCAGTACAGACGCGAGATAAGGTGAAGCAGCCGCTAGACACTGTAACTCCTCCTGCCTGTCCTCTAGGACGTCCGTGCCAAGAGCACACTCACCCCCGACGGACGGAGGACAGACAGACGCAGACTCAGCAACAAGACTAGCAGCGTAATCGAGACGACAGCGAGCAGCAAAGTCGACGAGCTCAGCGACTAGAGCAGACGCAGCAGTGGACTCAAAAGAGGGGTCAGTGACGACAGTAGCAAGCAGACGCGTGACAGTAGGACTGGCAGCACGAAGAGAGTCCGACTCAGGGTCGGCAAGCGCAGGAAGAGAGGACTCAGGAGGAGAAGGCAAAGGGGCACGCAGAGGAGCAGTGGACGGACGCAAAGACATCCGGTGCGTGCCAGGGACAGGAGGAGGACGCTGACGCGAACTGCGACCACTAGCGCGAGCAGCACGAACAGGCGACGCGGGACGAGACGCATGCTCACGACGCTCAGCAAGACCTCCAGTAGGACCAGTGTAAGGAGAGGGAGCAGGCAGTGGAGAGGAAGGCTCCAGCAGGGACTGCGACTGGACAGGCGGTGGACCCTCTACTGGAGGAGAAAGACCAAGAACCTGCTACAGGAGCGGAACGAAGTACGGCCGAGGCCGCGCGGCAGCTCCAGACTCAGCAGGGACAGCACCAGCACCCTCAGCGACAGCACCAGCGCCACCCACACCTCCAGCGGCAGGACCAACAGCAGTAGGCTCAGCACCAACGCCCTCAGCAGCTCCTAGCTCCAGGAGGATCCGCAGGTCCAGCAGCTCCGTAACCGGCAGCACCCGCACCCTCGACGGTCGAAGAAGCTCCAGCTCCAGCTCCAGCAGCACCTCCAGACTCAGCAGCACGCCTCCAGCGGCGAGCGAACCACTCGCGCAGCTCCTGTGGAGAGAGGGGCTCCCGGCGAGACGCAGCAGCAGGAGAAACCCCAGGCTCAGCAGCTCCAGTCGCAGCACCCCCAGGCTCAGCAGCTCCCAGCTCAGCACCCCCAGGCTCAGCAGCTCCCGACCCAGCACCCCCAGACCCAGCACCTCCAGGCACAGCACCCCCCGGCTCAGCACCCCCAGGCTCCGCACCCTCCGCAGTAGCACCCCCAGGCCCAGCACCCCCAGCAGTAGCACCCCCAGGCTCAGCACCCCCGCGTACAGCACCCCCAGAGTCAGCACCCCCAGGCTCAGCACCCGCAGCAGCACCAGAGTCACCAGTAACCTCGACCGGGTCAACGGCGTCTACCTGAGACACACCTGAGGGGGCAGGAACCTGAGGGGGGAGGGGGTCTACCGGGGGGGGAACCGGCACAAGGAAGTCCGGGGGAGGGGGGAGGGAAGGAGTGCGGTAGGGGAAGAGACGGTAGAAGGGGACTGACTCGTCGAACGTGACGTCCTGGGAGGACAGAACACGACGAGAGGAGGGGTGGTAAAACTGCCACCCTGGGGCGTCAGTGGGGAAGCCAAGGAAGACACATGGAGCAGCACGAGGGGACAGCTTGTCCGCAGACAAGTCGCGGACAAACGCCCGAGATCCCCAGACACGGAACACAGACGCATCGCCAACCTTCCCCGTCCACAGCAAGGCTGGGGACATCGCAGGCCGAGAGACCCGGGGGTGAAGGTTGAGCTGATGCGCCGCGTACCTCACCGCAAACGGCCACAGAAAATGGGGGGCAGCCGCATGCATCATGGACGTACGAGCGACATCCATGACCATGCCAATGCGGCGCTCAGCAATCCCATTTTGCTGTGGTGAGTCCGGAAGCGTGAAGGTCCGGCGGATCCCCCGTGCACGACAGTAGTCTCGCAGAAGGCGAGAAGAGAACTCTCCGCCTCTGTCCGAGTGCAGACGCAGAACAGGAAAGTCCGAGCCGAAGCTCTTCCTGAGCTGGAGACGAGCCTCGCGGATCCAGTCGATCAGCACCTCAGTGACCGCACCCTTGCTGCGCAAGGGGAGGACTGTGGTGTAACGCGAGTAGTCGTCAACCACCAACAGGAAGTAGCGCTCGTGACCCTGCCCACGGACGGGGGCTGGGCCCCACACATCCATGTGAAGCGTCTGCAGGGGAGCCTCTGTCGGGGGGAAGTGGGAGGAGTGAGGAGTAGCCCAGAGGCGACCCTCGACACAGGGGACACAGGAAGGTCCTGGCCCGGAGGGGAGAGGAGGGAGAGACTGGGGAAGACCAGAGACAAGGACACGGGAAGCCATGCTCCGAAGACGGGGCAAGGAGGGGTGGCCAAGACGGTGGTGCCACAGGAGAGTCTCGTGAGACAGGAGGCGACAAGAACAGGGGGCACACTCAGGACCTGACCGGGACGCAGCAGCAAGCACCTGACCTGACGCAGCCACCTGACCAGACGCAGGGACAGGAGGAGACTCAACGGTCAGGGTGTAGAGACTCGACCCCGGCCGACGCGAGAACGTGGCCAGATGTCGGCCTGTGCGTGCCTCCGTGCAGTGGGTCACCCGCTGACTCGCAGGAGTGAACTGGTGAACCCCCACATCCTGTAGGTCCGCGCCACTCACCAAGTTCGTAGAGAACGAGGGAAGGTACAGACCAGACAGGGTGCCCGAAGGGGCAGCCGGACATGGGAGGACAGTGGAGAAGTGAGACAGGACAGGACCCCCAGAGGGGTCAGCAAGGGAGACTGCAACCGGCCGGCCGAGCGGCGTAAGGGTAGTGCGGTCTCGAAAGAAGGAGCGAGAAGCCCCGGAGTCAAGTGTGAAAGTGAGGGAGGACGAGGACGACGCAGTACTTGAGAGCGCAGTCTCACTAGTACTTGAGAGCGCAGACGCACTGGCACCTAGAGCAGCAGCCTCACAAGCACCTAGCGCAGCAGTACCAATGCCCGGGTCGGGCTGGAAACACCGGTAACCCTCATTCTCCTCACTATAAGTCACAGCATACATAGCAGCAAGGATAGCATCAAAATCAAGATCAAAGATCGCTACACCAGCCCTAAGAAGCTCATCCCAGCGAGGGATCTCACTAGCCCAAGGGAACTGCTGACGCCAAGCGTCCGTCAGGCGGCCAAAGCAGCGCTGGGTGGCGTGGGCACCCCCACACTGCTCACCCGCGCGGTCGCCGGAACGAAGAACGTAGGTGCAGGGACCAGTACCCCCACCCCTCTGACGCCCAGCGTACCACTCACGAAGCTGCTGAGGCGGAGGGATGTCCCGCGAGCGCTGCTGCTGCTGCCGCTGCGAGCGCTGGGCACCACCACCGCCGCTACGCTGCTTGGTACCACCCCGACCAGCTCCACCTCCTCCACCACCACCGCCTCCTCCGCTGCCGCCTCCACCGCCTCCACCTCCGCCGCCTCCACCTCCGCCGCTGCCTCCACCACCACCGCTGGCACCACCACCACCGTCTCCGCCGCTGCTGCCACCACCACCACCACCCCCGCCACTAGTCCCGCCGCTACCCCCACTCCCTCCGCCGCCACCGCCGCCACCACCACCGCCCCCTCCAGCTCCACCCGCGCCCTTGCCCCCCTTGCCCTTGCTGGAGCAACGTTCTCCCACTAGGGGCAGACGCCGCGCCGACCGACTCAAGACCAAGCAGGTCGGCAGCAGCAGCAGAGGCAACAGAGGGCAGTAAGGGGGAAGGAGACCACCCCTCAAAGATGGGGGTGCGAGGGTCACCACGAGAAGCACCTACAGCGACTATGCTCTTCTCCGCTGCGAGGAGGGCCTTCTCGAGGAGGTCGACGGTGAGGGTGGTGGGACAGACTGCGAGAAAGTGGTCCCTGACGACGCGAAGGGAGTCAGGGAGGCGCGCGACTACGTAGTAGAGAGCGATGTACATGGGGGGTGGGTTCTTAGCGCAGAACTCAGCAGGAAGGGCGGCGCGGTAGCGAGTGTCACTAGTGCGGAGGTGCGTAATGAGGTCAGCGACAGTGGGAAAGGCAGAGAGGTCAGGGAAGAGGTAGGGAAGCATGAGACGGCTCAGTGCAGCAGTGGCAGGGGAGGAGTAGCGCGCAACTACAGCGTCGTACAAGGTCTGAGCACTCTTGTACTGACTAAAGTGCGCACGCTCAGAGGTAGGGAGGTGGCGACGCACAGCAAGACGTGCAGCAGCATCGCGGGTGGCCCACTGAGAGCGGACAGTGGGATCAGCATCAGCAGCAGGAGCAGGAGAGGCGCCAGAGGTGAGGTCAAAGAGAGAAAGGCCGTCAGCCCTGTCGCACTGTAAGAACAGCTGCAGGTCGTCTAACCAGACCTCAAAATCAATGGCGCGACCCTCAGCGTCAAAAGCTAGGACACTAGGGGTAGCCATGGCGACGACAGCGACGCAGTGCAAGCAGTAGGGAAAGAGCTCGCAGTGTCAGTGGGACTGTGCTCACCAGGCAGGGCAGGTCGTGCAGCTCTGCAGAAAGGCGGCTCGGCGACCGGGCGGCTCGGGTGCACAGCGGCTCGGCTCCCGGGCGGCCCGGCGGCTGGGCGGCTCGGGCGCAGGGGGGCTCGGCTCCCGGGCGGCTCGGCGGCAGGGCGGCTCGGGTGCAGGGCGGCTCGGGTCCCGGGCGGCTCGGCGACTGGGCGGCTCGGGCGTTGGGCGGCTCGGCTCCCGGGCGGTTCGGCTGCACTGCTGCCCGACTGCTGCAGGTGTGGCGGCGGGGCCGCGTGAGAGAGCCGGGGCGGGACGCGTGAGGGCCGGCGGCGGGGCCGCGTGAGAGCCGGGGCGGGGCCGCTTCAGAGCCGGCGGCGGGGCCGCAAGAGAGCCGGGTAGGGGCCGCGTGAGGGTCGGCGGCGGAGCCGCGTGAGAGCCGGGGCGGGGCCGCTTCAGAGCCGGCGGCGGGGCCGCAAAAGAGCCGGCGGCGGGGCCGCTTGAGAGGCGGGGCCGCTTGAGAGCCGGGGCAGGGGCCGCGTCAGGGCCGGCGACTGGGCCGTAAGAGAGCCGGCGGCGGGGCCTGGAGAGGGCCGACGGCGGGGCCACGTGAGAGCCGGGGCGGGGCCGCAAGAGAGCCGGCGGCAGGGCCGCGTAAGAGCCGGGGCAGGGGCCGCGTAAGAGCCGGGACGGGGCCAAGGAAGAGCCGGGGCGGGGCCGCGAGAGAGCCGTCGGCGGGGCCGCGTGAAAGCCGGGGCGGGGCCGCGCGAGAGTAGGCGGCGGGGTCGCGTAAGAGCCTGGGCGGGGCCGCGACAGAGCCGACGGCGGGGCCGCGTGAAGGCCGGGGCGGGGCCGCGTAGGAGCCGGGGCGGGGCCGCGTGAGAGCAGGCAGCGGGGCCGCGTAAAGGCCGGGGCGGGGCCGCGACAGAGTCGGCGGCGGGGCCGCGTGAGAGCCGGCGACGGGGCCGCGTAAGGTAGGGCGGCGGGGCCGTGTCAGTGGAGGCGGCTGAGCCGCAGGGGAAAAGGCGACCCGAGGGGTCGCTAAAAAATCGCGCCTCGGGGCGCGCTTCGGTGGGCCCAAAAAAAACGGTCCTTAGAAGGACCCGCTCTATACCATGTGAGAATAAGCGAACAGGAATGAATGAACTAGCAGTGAAATGAGTACAAGTAGGAAACCCTAGAATTGTGTACCCCCTATAGGCTAACCCACTGTAGCCTACACAAGCATAACATATATAATGTTTGACAAAACTTTGTTTGGTGGTGCACCTTCTTTGTTCCTTTGCTATATGTTCTTGCAAACCTATAGTGAAGCCACTCATTCTCTTTTCTGTCAGAACATTATATAGCTTATACATTTGTGTAGGCTATAGTGGGGTATCCCATAGGGGGAACAACCCAATTAGGGTTAGTACTTGTACCCAACTCTTTCATAGTTCATTCATTCTCGTTCTAATTTCCTCATGATATCAGAGCGAAGGTCTCGGGTTCGAATCCCGGTGTATGCACTTCGGGCATCCCAGTGCGGGGGGGTGTCAGAGGTCCACTGGTGATCCCCGATTGATCCTAGGGAAGGGTTACAGGCACGGTTGCCTGGGGGGTTATGGGCGCACTGACCCGCTGCTTAAACAAGCCCTTTTATCCCAATGGTTTAGTGGTTGGGATTCTGACATGGTATCAGAGCGAAGGTCTCGGGTTCGAATCCCGGTGTATGCACTTCGGGCATCCCAGTGCGGGGGGGTGTCAGAGGTCCACTGGTGGTCCCAGATTGATCCTAGGGAAGGGTTACAGGCACGGTTGCCTGGGGGGTTATGGGCGCACTGACCCGCTACTTAAACAAGCCCTTTTATCGCAATGGTCTAGTGGTTGGGATTCTGACACTTTCCAACTTTCTCGACATTCATCAACCCTACACCTAAGCTACTAAGACTCTCACTAGCCATGGCTCCTAAGTCACGCTAGTATCTCAACAGAGACAACCAGAGTCCTACGCGTAGAGCAAAACCGTGAAAGATTGAAACAGACACAACAAAGTGATGCGGTTTCCAACGACCCCTGTGACTCTGTTACGAAGTGGATTGAGAATTGAAGTTGTAGGGCTTGTCCGAATTTCTATTTGCAACGCCTACGAAATTTGCTTCTGTCATGTCGAGAAATCTGAACCTTACGATCGAAGTTCTCTACGGTCAAGATTGTTTGTTAGCGTAGACGAACTCGAAATTTATTGTTCAAAGACGCACTGAAAGGCTCCGAACTCCAAAATCGAGAAACTACCTCTACACCGTCCAAACCCTGGACGTGGCAGCATCTGGATAAGCGGCTGTGCTGCCATAATGTAACCCAATCAGCAGGAAGGGTCGAGAGTTTCCATGACATGTGGATCGCCATATGCCATGATAAACAGATAGGATTGGATCCCAGTATAAGCAGGTTCGCGTGAATCCTGTAAAAAAGTATTGGCCTATTTTTTTAATTCAACTACATACTCTATCATTGTTATATCTGCATGAAGTAAATGGAACGGTACAAATAATTACATTCTAGCTGTAAGACATTCGTACCAGGTACAAAATGCTCGCCAAACATAATACCAAAGGAAAAACTATTATAAATGAAAATAACATTTACGTGTACGTTTGAGACACGCAACCAGCTTTCGTAACCTTACCAACCAATTATAAGACCTAGCTGGTTTACCAGGAAATTTTACTTCAACGCTTTACTAAAAGCTTGTTATGAGTAAACTTGCAGAGTGCACAGTAAAATGAATAACGAGAATGACTGATTACTGAATTTCTGAATTCCGATACAATGGAAGTGACGAGGCCTAAATAGGGGAAGTCCTAGCAAGGCGGGGAGGTTGGGCGAGGATGGCTCGGTG